ACGTAAATAATACGCACGTACATAAGTATGTACGTAAATAATACGCAAGTACTTAAGTACGTAAATAATATGCAAGTACATAAGGACGTAAATGATACGTAAGTAAGTATGTAAGTAATACATAAGTAAGTACTTAAGTATGTAAGTCAGTCAGTCATTCAGTAAGTAAACCAGCCACCCCATCATTTCAGGAAATTATGCTTACTAGTTTTTATAATGCTTTAAATTAAAATGTTCTCAGATTATGGTGGCCGAAGATTATTCTGTGGAGGCCGAGGCCAACTCTGGCCAGTGTTGTATAATGTTGTTTCCTCACTTCGCCAGTATCTGGCTCTCTTGGACAAGCAAACAAAAACCTTCCTCTGCCCTTTTACACATTGTAACTCCCACTTGAAAATCTTCTGTCTCAAACATTAAGGTTTACTTGCCGTACCGGCTCAATTCCAGTCCAGAAAAACTCTAATTTCGAAAACTATAACCATTCACTATTCAAATCCTTCAGATCCTTCACATTGGCAGACCTCTTGTTTATGCATGAAACAGTCTGTGTCTACATAAAAGCAGTATTCACCAAAAAGGAATATACTGAGTTGACTGAGTAGATGTTTGTGTACAGAGTGACTCAATAGGTAGAACCATTATCCCATTACTTTCATTTTTTAACTCACTCTTTGTTCAGGATGTCAACGAGCATCAAATCCTGCAGACTGCTGGTCAATTGTTTTAAACCAGGGCTGCTAATCCACTCATTACCGTGATTAACTGAGAGTGTGAGCGTGTGTGTGGTCAAACTTGGCCGCCACACGTCATTACTCTTAGGAAAAGGCTAAGCCTAGGTAACAGCTTGTCAACAGCAACGGTCTTAGCCACCGTCTCTTGCTGTGCTTTCTGCACCAGAACGACAAAGAAGTGACAGCATGAGTTTCTCTCCTGAGCCTCTCCATAGACGCCGCTACAGCCTTAGCTGGAAGCAGCAGCAGAGGTTATACTGATCCGATGTGAGCAGAGCGTTTGTAATGTATACAAGGACTCTCACTCTCTGTGTATAAACCATGGGAATGAGTGTTTGGTCACTCAGTGCTGACCTGGAGGCTAGTGGTGCCGGAGATGGTGTTAGATTTACACAGTCTTAAGAGAAGCAAGAGACTAGGGACGAGTAATGTCCTCTGGATTCTAACAGGAGCTAATGCTGGACTAAATTACACCACAGATTTCAGCATTAGCTTGTAGACCAGGTGAGTGCAATCAATCAGAATCAGAATAAACTTTATTGGCATTGCACCAAGATATACCGCGAATATGTATGTACAGTCGTCCGAAAGATGGGCGGAGTGCACGAAGCTGCTGCTATAAATAGCGCGGCCTTCTTATTCTTATTCAGAATAATAATGGAAAAATCTTGCAAGTCCTCCACAGCCTTTCATGTCACAGTTTCAGACTAAAGGCACAAACTATTTCAAGCTGAAACTCAAATGCCCTGTGTGATTTCTGAACGGGCTGAGGTGGCACAGGGGGTTAATACCGCCCTACCACTGATGTGCCTTTGTGCTACCAAGGGAAACGGTAGCGACCAATGGTCAATTGGTGAAGAGCTAAGCTGGCTTGTGGCTCAATAATGTAATGAACTGATGACATATGTGACCACCCAGCTATATGTTTTAAAGCCTAAGCGAAAATAAAAAGATTCTTTACCAATGAGAAAATCTTTGAAGATGCAGAAACTTAACAGTCTTGTAAACACGATTGTTAAATCCTGTTTGTTTGTTTTTTTTTTGTTTTCAGTTGAGTCCAAACCTAACCTCGAGACAGTAATACATGCGTTCATAACATCCAGGCTCGATTACCGTAATGTTCTTCTTTATAGAATCAGTCAGACCTCCATTGCACGATTACAACCGGTCCAAAATGCTGCACCCAGATTTTTAACTGGTACAGGCAAAAGAGAGCACATTACACCAGTTTTGACCTCCCTGCACTGGCTCCTAGGTCCCTTTCGAATTCAGTTCAAAATCCTTCTATACGTTTTTAAATCTCTGAACAGTTCTGCCCCCTCTTATCTCGCTGATCTGCTGCAGCCATATGTCCTACAGCGCTCTCTGAGGTCATCAGACCAGATTGGCTCATAGGTGACTGAACCTTCTCTGTTGCAGGTCCAAGACTGTGGAATGAGTTACCACTGCATGTCAGGCAGGCTCCCTCTCTCACTGTTTTTAAGTTTTGCTTAAAAAACCACTTTTATTTCCTGACACCGTGCCATTTGTTTTTAACTTGTCTGTGTTCTACAATGTCAGTCATTTAGTTTTTATCTTTTTCCATTTGAATCTATGTATTTATCCTGTGTCCTTTGTTTGTTTCGGCTGTACAGCACTTTGGTTGGCCTTGCTGCTGTTTTAAGTGCTCTATAAATAAAGTGGTATGGTATTGTAAAGCGCTTTGAGTATTTTGACTAGATGGAAAGGCGGCGTATAAGTGCATTCCATTTACCATTTACAACACGTATGTTTTTAGTTTTCAAAAAGAGGCTCATGTGAAAGAAGATCGCAAAACTGAGTTATTTCTTCATATTTTGAAAACTGTCTGAGGAAGATGTTATGATACGGTCTTATGTGAGAGACACAACGTCAAAGGAAGCAGAGGAAGAGCTTCCAGTTGCTTCGTAGAGCACCCACATCTCCGGTGGGAGGTCAGCTGTAAACAGCCAGGCCACTCATGGCCCAGTTTGATGAAAGGGTCCCTCTGAGAGGATTTATTCAGCCCCCTTCAACACAGATTTTGCAATCAGACCATCCTCCTCGAGCACGGCTGTGTAGGTTTTTCTACCACAGCAAAGTATACAGAGCCTTCCATCCTCCAGTGGATCCTGGAAATTAGACTTGGGAGGGGAAGGGCAGCATAATCACTTGGGCCACGCTTGAGATGCTGTTGGAGAGCCAGCAGAACGTCCAGGCTGTTTAACCCCGGCCCACCACCCAGTGAAACCCACCTTCCTTTCAGACATACTCGCAACGCCTCTGCCCTGAAGATTAATGCTGCATGAAATGGCATCACAGGCCTCGTCTTCTGAGATCTCTTCAGTGTTAGCAGTAATGGTATGGACCTTGAGGGACAAAAAGCCTTTCGCGTGGCGTGTCTCAGGGGAAACCCATATCTGTTGGCTTGAGGATTTTCAGCTCTTATTAAAATCTTCTATATGCCCCGCCCATCTCTGTATATCTGATGTGCCTGTAAGTCCTTTGTGTGCAAAGCCAAATGTTAATATAAACACAATCTTTAGTCTGCATGTGTAGATTTAGATTTATGCAGCCTGTTATTGACTCTATACAGATTTTACATTTTTATATACTGTCACAGGTATTCTGGGATAATCCAGGACTAGTCAACTAAATTGCTCAGGGGACACGGTTACTGAAAGCCAAGAGCTCAGGGGCCGGACATCCTGCAGTTATTCTCATTAAGTAAGGTTGTTTTGCGATTTAAAATAAAAGTTTTATTTAAAAACAAACCCATTGGCGGGCCGAACTGAGCTCACCCGTGGGCCTGATTTTGCCCCCGAGCCGCCACTTGAATAGTCCTGGTATAATCTGTAAACTTTCTCTTGTCCAACCCATAACTTCTGATGCGCTCAAGGCAATTTACCAAAACCTCATATGTTTATGCATGATCTCTAGACGGAATGTTGCGTACACTTTTCATCACCCCAGCTTCAAGGTTAAGGTCACAAATCAAGGTCAAACATACAAGATGTTTTCTTGTCCGGGCCGTTGCTATAGATTGTTGTGTAACTGTTTGTCGATGTGTAAAATATGCTATATGTGGTACTCTTGTTTCATTAACTGCCTTTTTAGTGGAGGGTAAACATCAAAACCCTTTGATCTAAAAGTTAGTCTCATTATAAATTTTGGTTCTTTAGATAAAGAACCTGGCATTTTCCTCAGGTTAAGAGTAAAATGAGAATTTGAAATTGGTAATACTTGATGAATTAAAAAAAAAAAAACCTTTTTGACCTTTGACCTTTGTGTCTCCTTCTCAGAGGCTGCTCCGAGCTTCACCGGATACCAATGGTGGAGTATAAAGTGGACAGTGAGGGTACGCCCTGCGAGTACAAGACGCCCTTCAGGAGAAACACGACCTGGCATCGGGTGCCCACAGCTGCCGGAGCGCCTCTGTCCCGAGGCTCGCCCACTCAGGGCCCCGACCGCCTGCAGTGTCAGCAGATCCTCCAGCAGCACCAGGCAGCCATCCCACGAAGCACCTCCTTTGACAGAAAGCTGCCAGATGGCTCCAGGTAAATCAATCCTGAGTCAGCATTTATACCATTTCTTTCTTCTTTCTTTTTTTTAACTTCCCTGCATTTTTTTTACAATCTGTTTTGAATCAAATCAGATTTATTTCTATAGCACATTTAAAAACAGCTGTCACTGGCCAGTGCTGCACACAAAACGATACCGTATTTTCCAGCACATCAGTCAATAAAAGCATCATGAAGAGGGAAAAAACATATATAAATTGCTTTTTATAAAAACAGATGTTTAACAAATGTTAGGACTCTTTTCTTTGCTAACAAAATATATATTTATGTCGTTAAACAACTCGTCAGGTGCTTCTCTTGTGAGCGCGTTCCCCTGGACCCCCACCCTCCCAGCTCGCTCGCTCGCTCTTGCGCTCTTTGCGGCTTCTCTGCCGTTGCTGCACCGAGACCAAGTCCAGGTCCAGCTAAACGTTGAGCAGGAGCCGAGAGCTGCAGGATCATGTTTCAAACTGCGCTTCAAAAAGCTGTGCACTGCAAAACGTGCTCATTGTAGCCATTAAGCCTGACTTCCTCATTTTGATTTAAAAAAATCAGCACAAAATGTTTTAATCGTTTTTGTTTTGTACAAACTGGATTCCAAAAAAGTTGGGACACTAAACAAATTG